GTGGGGGGCCCACGGATAATGCCCAAAGGCTTTAACAGAGTGCGGGGGATCGGATTTTGGGGGCCCAGAGGTGATTCCCCTTTGGCCTCATCAGCCCCCCCCCAACGTTGGGTAAAAAAATTTTTAAAAAAACTTTGGGAACTGGTGGTCTGAAAAACGTACACCAAATTAAAAACCCTTTGGGTTAAAAAGACTGCGGAATAAAGAAAAAATTTGTTCCTGCACTCCTTGCCCCTAGTGTCGTCGTACCGGTGGGGACACCACAACAGAAACCACCTAGGCGGCCTTTTGTACTCCTGGGTTAAACCCCTCATGTCGTGCACCGCGCTGGGGTACCCCCAAACGAAAACCCAATCCATACGGGCCCATTCAGACACCTTTGGTTTAAACCCTCAGTGTCGTGGTCACCCCGCTGGGGGTACACCACAACGCAACCACCCATAGGGGCCATTCATGTCCTTGGTAAAACCCGGGTGTCGTCGTCACTGCGTGTATACACCACAACAGCAACCATCCATCGATCGGATGGCTAAGGCTAAATTTCCGACAAAACTAGATCATACGGATCAAAATCTGACCTCAAAATTTGAAATGAACTGAAAAGACCGAAGTCCACACCCAAAAGACACCACTCGCCCGAGTGTTGGCACAAAACTGATAACGATATGCCTGATGCAGGATGTAAAATCTGTCGGGCTAATGGCTCGTCAAGAAATCTAACGTGCGAAGAAAAAGAATGTACCTATCGTGTGTGGTTACAAAAGTCCAAAACCCGCGGGCTGCTCTCCGCTGACCCCCAGAGGGCACAGCCCTGTCGAGCGGAGGCATGCTGATACCTGATACGGTTGTGAGGTTAAGCAGGCTTGTGCAGGACGTGACGATTCCTTGAGGTGAGCCCCAGAACCAGAGCGCCATGTGTCGGCTCTGCATACATGGATGCATCCTTGGATGGCGGGGAAGCCCAAGATCTGCCCCTGCCTTCCCTTGAGGGCTAACTATTCCAACAGGGGGCCGACCCAAAGGGGATACTCACGGGGGCAATACCTGCGGCAAAGGAGACGAAGTGGACACCACACAAATCAGGCCAACGTCTCGACCCACACAAAACAATGGCCACAGTCACCCTAGAAATAGGCCTGACCGTCTTCCTTCGAAGTCGGCGTACAGCTGCCCAGGAGGCAGGGAAATAAAAAACGGTTGTACACGCAAAATCTCTCAGGTCCAGGTGAAAGCCAAAAGTCCAAGCGGACGATTACCTGACCTTCCACTGGAATTCACAGCCGGTGTTCGATGAAAAAAAAAAAACAACCATTTTGGTCTCCAAATGAGGTAATTAAAAAGCCCTGATGTAATGAAACACGGAGAAGGAGGATAGAAAGAAAGGCAACTGATGGAATGTAAAATGACATAGAGGATATGGGGTTGGCAGAACAGGCAAACCAGCAGCAGGGGAGATCAATTTTGAATGCCTTATGTATCAACAATGACACGATACCGAGAGTGACATAGATGGAGAAATCTTACTAGGTTGAATCTACTTTGGCCGATCAAAAGAGAGGACAATCTAGCTCACATGAACATCTCTGAAAGAGATGAAGAAAGAAGAAAAAGACTGAACATAAAACTGAAAGAAGATTGAAGATAAAATTAATAGAAAGCTGAAGATAAAAATTAATAGAAAGCTGAAGATAAAAATTAATAGAAAGCTGAAGATCAAAATTAGCATAAGGCTGAAGGTAACATTGAGCAAAAAGATTAAGAGTGAAGTTAGAAAAAATATTGAAAGTCAAAGTTAGCAGAAAATGAAAGTCATTTTGAGTAAGAAGATGAAGACTAGTATTGGAATAATATTGAAGGTCAAAGTTTGCAGAAGGCTGAAGATCACATTGAGCAGAAGGCTGAAGATCACATTGAGTGAGCAGAAAGCTGAAGATCACATTGAGCAGAAGGCTGAAGATCACATTGAGCAGAAGCCTGAAGATCACATTGGGCAGAAGGCTGAAGATCACATTGAGCAGAAGGCTGAAGATCACATTGAGCAGAAAGCTGAAGATCACTTTGAGCAGAAGGCTGAAGATCACATTGAGCAGAAAGATGAAGATCACATTGAGCAGAAGGCTGAAGATCACATTGAGCAGAAAGATGAAGATCACATTGAGCAGAAAGATGAAGATCACATTGAACAGAAGGCTGAAGATCACATTGAGCAGAAAGCTGAAGATCACTTTGAGCAGAAGGCTGAAGATCACATTGAGCAGAAAGATGAAGAACATTGAGCAGCCCAAGATTCACAGTGAGGCAGAAGGCTGAAGATCACATTGAGCAGAAGGCTGAAGATCACATTGAGCAGAAAGATGAAGATCACATTGAGCAGAAAGATGAAGATCACATTGAGCAGAAAGATGAAGATCACATTGAGCAGAAAGATGAAGATCACATTGAGCAGAAAGATGAAGATCACATTGAGCAGAAGGATGAAGATCACATTGAGCAGAAGGCTGAAGATCACATTGAGCAAAAGGCTGAAGATCACATTGAGCAGAAAGATGAAGATCACATTGAGCAGAAGGATGAAGATCACATTGAGCAGAAGGCTGAAGATCACATTGAGCAGAAGGCTGAAGATCACATTGAGCAGAAAGATGAAGATCACATTGAGCAGAAGGACCAATTGAAGATCACATTGAGCAGAAAGATGAAGATCACATTGAGCAGAAGGATGAAGATCACATTGAGCAGAAGGCTGAAGATCACATTGAGCAGAAGGCTGAAGATCACATTGAGCAGAAGGCTGAAGATCACATTGAGCAGAAGGATGAAGATCACATTGAGCAGAAAGATGAAGATCACATTGAGCAGAAAGATGAAGATCACATTGAGCAGAAAGATGAAGATCACATTGAGCAGAAAGATGAAGATCACATTGAGCAGAAGGCTGAAGATCACATTGAGCAGAAAGATGAAGATCACATTGAGCAAAAGGCTGAAGATCACATTGAGCATTGAGCAGAAGGCTGAAGATCACATTGAGCAGAAAGATGAAGATCACATTGAGCAGAAGGATGAAGATCACATTGAGCAGAAGGCTGAAGATCACATTGAGCAGAAGGCTGAAGATCACATTGAGCAGAAGGCTGAAGATCACATTGAGCAGAAGGCTGAAGATCACATTGAGCAGAAGGCTGAAGATCACATTGAGCAGAAAGATGAAGATCACATTGAGCAGAAGGATGAAGATCACATTGAGCAGAAAGATGAAGATCACATTGAGCAGAAGGCTGAAGATCACATTGAGCAGAAAGATGAAGATCACATTGAGCAGAAAGATGAAGATCACATTGAGCAGAAAGCTGAAGATCACATTGAGCAGAAGGCTGAAGATCACATTGAGCAGAAAGATGAAGATCACATTGAGCAAAAGGCTGAAGATCACATTGAGCAGAAGGCTGAAGATCACATTGAGCAGAAGGCTGAAGATCACATTGAGCAGAAAGATGAAGATCACATTGAGCAGAAGGCTGAAGATCACATTGAGCAGAAAGATGAAGATCACATTGAGCAGAAAGATGAAGATCACATTGAGCAGAAAGATGAAGATCACATTGAGCAGAAAGATGAAGATCACATTGAGCAGAAAGATGAAGATCACATTGAGCAGAAAGATGAAGATCACATTGAGCAGAAAGATGAAGATCACATTGAGTCAACAGAAAGATGAAGATTCACATTGAGCAGAAGGCTGAAGATCACCATTGAGCAGAAAGATGAAGATCACATTGAGCAGAAGGCTGAAGATCACATTGAGCAGAAAGATGAAGATCACATTGAGCAGAAAGATGAAGATCACATTGAGCAGAAAGATGAAGATCACATTGAGCAGAAAGATGAAGATCACATTGAGCAGAAAGATGAAGATCACATTGAGCAGAAGGCTGATGAAGATCACATTGAGCAAGAAAGATGAAGATCACATTGAGCAGAAAGATGAAGATCACATTGAGCAGAAAGCTGAAGATCACATTGAGCAGAAGGCCTGAAGATCCACATTGAGCAGAAAGATGAAGATCACATTGAGCAGAAGGCTTGAAGATCACATTGAGCAGAAAGATGAAGATCACATTGAGCATAGAAGAATGAAGATCACATTGAGCAGAAAGATGAAGATCACATTGAGTGAGCAGAAAGATGAAGATCACATTGAGCAGAAAGATGAAGATCACATTGAAGTGAAGCAGAAGATGAAGATCACATTGAGCAGAAAGGCTGAAGATCACATTGAGCAGAAAGATGAAGATCACATTGAGCAGAAAGATGAAGATCACATTGAGCAGAAGGCTGAAGATCACATTGAGCAGAAAGATGAAGATCACATTGAGCAGAAAGATGAAGATCACATTGAGCAGAAAGATGAAGATCACATTGAGCAGAAAGATGAAGATCACATTGAGCAGAAAGATGAAGATCACATTGAGCAGAAAGATGAAGATCACATTGAGCAGAAAGATGAAGATCACATTGAGCAGCAAAGGATGAAGATCACATTGAGCAGAAAGATGAAGATCACATTGAGCAGAAAGATGAAGATCACATTGAGCAGAAAGATGAAGATCACATTGAGCAGAAAGATGAAGATCACATTGAGCAGAAAGATGAACATCAAAGTTAAAAAAATACAGAAAACTTGCTGTGTTTGTGTATGTATGTGTGTGAATTTGTTGATACATTTGACTTTTAGCACACATGACTAAACTTTATTCTTGTATTTATATCCTAGTTGTGTGTCAATTAATTAAATCTTATTCACACCTTTTTTGTCATGAACAATTTCAGGCAATCTCTAAAATTAGGGAATTCCTGCTGCAAAAGATCTATGCATTTAGAAAACCTATGACCAACTATCAGATACCTCAGAACACACTTTTGAAATTCAGGTGAGTTTTCTAATGTCAGTCTTCTTCTTCTCCTCCTCCTCTTTCTTTCTTCTTCTTCTTCTTCTCCTCCTCCTCCTTTTTTTTCTTTTCACTTCTTCTTCTTTCTCTTCTTCTTCTTCGTCCCCACGTTTCATTAGCTGTACTTCCTCCGAAGTCGGAGTACATCTGCCGGAGAGGCGGGGAACGAGTACTGCAAACAAATAAGCCAGTAAAACGGATGTACACGCAAAACTCAGGTCAAGGTAAAAGCCAAAAGTCCATTTTGGACGAACAACCGTGACTTACCGCCGGAATTCACAGCCGGTGAACAAGAAGAAGAAGAAGAATTAGCTGTAAACTCTGACTGAAAGTTCTGATTTTCATCCACTTAAGTCTTGTTCCAGAACATATGTTTTGCATGCACATCTGTTTTACAGATCTGGCTTATTTGTATGCAGATGGTTGATCTTTACCTGTCAGACAGATGCTGTCCGACTTCAAAGGATTTTGTGTAAGTAAGGGACCCCTTTCCACCCTCTTCATCGTATTGGGTTTATGGTGCCAGACCTATATCTTATAGATCCAATAGCACTCAGTGGGTGATGTGGTCAAAATCATGCTGCCACCTTTACTTCCCAGAACTATACCTGGTACCCATTTTAGGCTGGTTTGACCTGGGGCCAAGCTCATTTACCTGGACTGAAATCTTGTTCTAGAACTTGGGTTTTGTGTTCACAGCTGTTTTACAGATCTGGCTGATTTGTGTGCAGACTTTTGGTTCCTCACCTTTCAGGTAGATGTACTCTGACTTTGAACGAAGTCTCACGACATGCTTGTTAGTGGGACAGAAGGTCTGTTCTGTCTTCCCCAAGATGGGGCCCTGGGACCCACACTTTGAATGAAGTCTCACGACATGCTTGTTAGTGGGACAGAAGGTCTGTTCTGTCTTCCCCAAGATGGGGCCCTGGGACCCACACTTTGAATGAAGTCTCACGACATGCTTGTTAGTGGGACAGAAGGTCTGTTCTGTCTTCCCCAAGATGGGGCCCTGGGACCCACACTTTGAATGAAGTCTCACGACATGCTTGTTAGTGGGACAGAAGGTCTGTTCTGTCTTCCCCAAGATGGGGCACTGGGGCCCACACTGGGAAGCAGTAAATAAAATGATTTGGTCATCCTGTTAGAATGTAGCAACAACAACCAACACATATGCTACACTTAAACAGATCTGATGTGAAAGTAAGTGGACACCCGAGGAGATGATCTAATTTACATTTACTTAGTCGCTCCCCTTTTACCTTGGGGTGTAGAGGTTTGCCAGAGAGATCGCCAGACTTCTCTGTCAGCAATTTTCTTTCTGGCTTTGTTCCATTCCAGACTTCTATTAGCCAGGGACTGTCGGATGTTGTCGTTCCGGTAAACTCTGTGTCTCCCAGGTGGTCTGTTCCCTGGTTCTTGGCCTTCCATGCCTGCCATGGTGGCCCATTCTTTGCCATTCTGCATACATGTCTAAACCATCGTAACTGTGACTGATCTACTCGGGTTTGTAAGGACTAGGTTTCAAGATCCTGACATTTTGTCTGATTACAAACTTTGTCCCTTCTTGTCAGTTGGACAACCTTTCTCAGATATCTAATTTCTGAGACCTGAAATGATGAAAGACAATCTGCATCGACACATCAGAAAGTGGAAATTGGTGAGGACGAATAAATAAATAAAGGTAAGGGTGATGAGCAAACTGATAGAAAGTACCCAAAAAAACACTTTGGCATCAGAGCCCTCAACCACCTTGCTAGAGAACTTTACAGATGGCACCAAGATCTGTTGAAAATAGATGTTGCACTGTGTGAAAATCTCAGGCTAGAACACTGGACAAGCAATTCAGACAAGGCAGAAGTAGTTCTAGAAGTGCCATGGATCACTACAAAAGATGCACAGATGGAGATACAACAGAGTACACTCGTTCTCGCTACGCTTGAAGAAAAGTATCCCTTACTACTCCTAGCATAGGCTGGGGATCTGACCTAATGGATCCACATTACAAGATAATATGGATTTAATACTTACTTTTTCACATTTGTAATTAATTATGTACCTGTGCAAAACTAATTTCCAATTTAGTGTTTTAGCCACTCCTATTCTCTTTTATTTTTTAAATCCCATTAATTGCAGGATATTTAACGAGTTCCTAATGGCCAACGAAAGACATGTGGCTAAAGAAATCAGGGATGAATATGTGGACACTATGAGTAAGATCTATTACTCGTACTTCAAGGGATACTCCAGTAGGCTGACCAAGCTACAGGTAATTGTCCAACTAGTATTATCCATTCATATAAAAAACAGTTTTTTTTTTAGTTGGTCCCTTTGTTTTGGTCCTCATAAAACAGTTTTTAATTGTGTCTTCACGGCCTTGTTATACATTGAGACAAAAATGTTTTTAGAATTTTGACATCAGCTCTTGTGAAGCTTTTTATAGTTCTGTGTGGTTTCATGTTTATAAGTCTTTGTTTTCTGTTGTTTTATGTTTGTAAATCTTTGTTGCCTTTTTCATGTTTATAAATCTTAGCAGTTTGTTGTTTTGTGTTTCTAATTCTAAATCTTAGTAGAATATTTTAGTTTTATCTTTATAAATCCGTGGTTTTATGTTTGTCAGTCTTAGCCAAGTCTGTGGTTTTATCTTTATACAATCAGATCAGTGTGGTTTTATGTTTATCAGTCTTAGCAGAGTCTGTGGTTTCATTTTTACAAACTTTAGTAGAGTGCGTAGTTTAATGTTTATAAATCTGGATTTATGTTTCTAAATCTTATTAGAATGTGTAGTTTATGTTTATATGTCTGTGGTTTTATGTTTATAAATCATAGCTGTTACATGTAGAATAGCTTCAGCAAAGGCAGTATTCCACAAAATGAACATTCTATGCAGTCTTTCTTTGTCAGTTGATGTGAGAAAGAGAATTCCCAAGAATTATATAAATCATATCCCAGTATACAAAAGTGAATCATGGATAGTTGGTCAGTTAGTGAAAAAATTATTTGGAGGTGGCAGATGGACGAATAATGAGAATACCCTGGGCGAGTAATGGAAATGTCTTGAAAGAAATTGATTGGCAAAGAGAACTGATTGCCGAAATTGGAAGGAGACAATCTACATTCTTTGGCTGTGTCAGGAAAAGGAGAAAACTGTATCATGACATGGGAAAGTTTGAGGGGAAAAGAGACAGAGCAAGACCAAACGAGAAGATACTGGACAGTTTGAAATCATGGTATCAAAGATCATTTGTGTCAAAGTTAATTGAAAGGACACGAGACAGAAGGTTGTGGATGAACATGACTACTAATGCCACACAGCATGGACTATAAGGAGAAGATATCTTACAAGGAATCTGTGGTTTATGTTTATAAATCTTAGCTGAGTCTGTGGTTGTATGTGTATACAGTCTGATCAATTTGTGCTTTTATGTTTCTTAGCTGAGTCTGTGGTTTTATGTTTATACAGTCTGATCAGTCTGTGCTTTTATGTTTATGAATCTTAGTTGAGTCTCTGGTTTTATGTTTATACAGTCTGATCAGTCTGTGCTTTTATGTTTCTCAGCTGAGTCTGTGGTTTTATGTGTATATAATTTGATCAGTCTGTGGTTGAATGTTTATACAATTGGATAAGTTTATGCCTTTACATACATCTTATCTGAGTCTGTGCTTAATCTGATCAGTCTCTGCTTTTATGTTTATAAATTTTAGCTGTCTGGTTTTGTGCCTCTAAATTTTAGTAGTGTAGGTAGTTTAATGTTTAGGAATTTGTTATTTTATATTTCTAAGTCTTAGTAGAGTTTATAGTTTTATGTTATAATTCTGCGGTTTTATGTTTATAAACCTTAGTAGAATATGTGGTTTTATGTTTACAGATCTTTGTTGAGTTTGTAGTTTTTTTGTTTACAGATCTTTGTTAAGTCTGTGGTTTTGTGTTTACAAATCTTTGCTTAGTCTGTGGTTTTATGTTTATAAATCTTAGTTGAGTGTAGTTTTGTGTTTCGAAATCTTGGTAAAGTGTATAGTTTCATGTTTCTGAATCATCTTAGTAGAGTATATATTTTTAGGTTTATAATTCTTCGAGGTTTTATGTTTCTAAATCTTTACTGAGCCTAGCTTTATGTTTATAAATCTTAGTTGAGTTTGTGGCCTTATGTTTATGCATTTTCCTCTGAAAATGAGGTTTCATGTTTATAAACTTTGGGAAAACACAAACATTTTGCATTTCAGGGACTTTTGTCTATCATTTTTTTTTTTACAAGAAATGTAACGAACATTTTTATCATTGAAAAAAAAATTGTCTAATGCCTTTCCACTATTTAAAACTTTCTAAAAATATATTTAAAAACAAAAATTGGTTTTTGGTCAAGTATCTCGATTGCACACTAGACATTACTTGTGTATAAACAGGGCCTGTTGTCATAAGGGATAGCAATGTAGGTGTGAGACAGGGTACTTGTTACGTTCACTAAAGACATAAGTATAAACACACAAGAGAAATATAATGAATACAAATAGTTGCATATCATTTAGAAGACATCACACACCAATCCCAGCATTTGTTGTTGTGTGTGTGTGTGTGGTTTTGCCAGGCAGATTTACATTCGGTTTTTTTTTTAAAATATATATTAAATTATGTAATTCTGGTGTGGGATTGTTAGCGTTGGCACATATAACATCTGACTAATGCATTTACTTTGTGTGTGTGTGTGTGTGTGTGTGTGTGTGTGTGTGGTTTTGCCAGGCAGATTTACATTCGGTTTTTTTTTTTAAATATATAGTAAATTATGTAATTCTGGTGTTGGATTGTTAGTGTTGGCACATATAACATCTGTCTAATGCATTTACTTTGTGTGTGTGTGTGTGTGTGGTTTTGCCAGGCAGATTTACATTCGGTTTTTTTTTTTAAATATATAGTAAATTATGTAATTCTGGTGTTGGATTGTTAGTGTTGGCACATCTGTCTAATGTATTTACTTTGTGTGTGCGAGCTGCAAAGATTTTGCTGGGACTGACATGTATTTGTGTATATTCTACTGGCACAGGAACTGAGCAGTAATGGGACAACCCATCTGCAGAGAAGTTGGAACCTCAAATAATTAATAGTAAAGCGAAGGTCCCTTTTCCAAGCCTTTAGGCGTGTAGGGCATGTCAGCACAAGATGAGTGATGTGGTCAGCATCACGCCGGCTGTCTTTACTTCCCAGGAGTGCACTCAGTACCCACTTAATCTGGGTCGACCTGGGAGTCAAGGTCATTTTTGAAAAAAGTCAGGGTCTACCAGAGAGGAAACCCATGACCTTCTGATCCGCACATGAGCGTCTAGCCGCTACGCCACAGCGACTCCCTGGACTAATTAATATATTGTATTAAAACCTTGTGGGTTCCAGGGGCCCCATTTAGGGTTTAGAAGAAAGGGGAGAATATTTTAAGTGCCCCCCTCCCACCTTAACATGCATGTCATTAAAGATGACTAATTAGGGGTTAGCTAAAATTGAATGTACAGTGCCAAAAGGTGCAGATATTGCAGCCTAGCGGTAAACAGCAACCACCTTTTAAAGAGTGTACACAGAGGAATAGGAAGAAGAATATATAAGGCAGGTAGGTAGTTGTACCCCACCAGGACATCACACAAGCGATAAACACTCAGTGACACAAAGTGCCACCATGCGGATGAGGATCACATGTGGAGAGGTTCCAGAAACCCTTTTCAGAAAGCTAGGGTGGGGCTTCAAAATAACAAAAAATTACATCCCACTATAGGGGACAACTTTTTGAAGAATATATAATATAATATACCAAGTAAAATTTATGAAAGCATGTGTGAAATATGGAAATAATCATTAAAATAACCTAACCTTTAAAAAGCATATTGTACATCCTATCAAAATTAACATTGTGCACAAAAACCACGGCAAATAATTTATATGCTACCTTTCAGGAACCTAACCTGGAAACTAAAGAAAGTCTAGGAAGTAAATTAGGTCCCTGCTTCTCTGTCCGAGCTCGATACATTTCAAAAGTGGTAATAGTTCTCACAAGCCATGGGGATCGATCAACCAAATCATACAATGGCTTGCACTCTTTTGCTTGTCCTGGTTTGCTTGCAAGCACAAAGTTTTGATAATGTGGGCTTATCTTTTCCGGGAGAAATATCTTGTTTCGTTTTTTTTTTTATTCACCCATGACCTTGCTTTGGTTGTGGAAGCCATTGTTTTTATTGCATTTCTGTTTTTATTTTTTGCTCTTTCGTTATAATTATTAAAAATTAATTGTAATTCAGCAGAGGCAACCTAAAAAAAAACGGTTGGAGGCCACTGCAATAAATTATCAAAATCTATCAGTGAGTAAAGTCAAGGATCCTTTTTCATGCCTTCAGATGTATTGGGCATATAGGGCACTCAGTGGGTGATGTGGTCAGCATCAGGCCTTTACTTTCCATGACTTTACCAGGTACCCATTTAAGACTGGGTCAGCTTGGGAGCCAAGGACAGTTTTGAAAAAGTCTGACTTTAGCAGGTCAAAAACCCACAACCGCTACACCACGGCGAGCTTCTCAAAATCTTTCAGTTTTATGGTTTATAATTCTTCAGTTGTATCAGGACTTGTTCAACTAATATTTTATATTAGCCAGTAATATTTTGGGTGTTTTTACATTTTTCAAATACTTTCCTGTTGAAAGTCATGAAGGTGAACACAAAAGAGCCAATAATTTGTGAAATTTATTGCTGAAATTCAAACAAATCTAATTTTTCAAATCTCTCTCTATCTCTCTCTCCCCTCTCTCTCTCTCTTTCTTTCTCTCTCTATCTCTGTGTGTGTGTGTGTGTGTGTGTGTGTGTGTCTGTCTCTCTCTGTATGTGTATGCGTGCATACATTTGTGTGCATGCACTAAATATATATATCATAAATCATATCGTATTGCCCGAGTATAGCTATGATTGCATGAACTTCATCTTCATTATTGTTTGTTTCCTGCCATGTCTTCAGAAAGAGTTAGCCAAATTGGTAATTAACACTTTTGACTCTTCCTTTTGAATTAAAAGCCTTGGATATAGGCTGCGGATAATGGTATTATTACAATTTTTTTTCAGTCAAATTTTTTGGACATAATTTCTCCTGGATATTTGTTCATAATTTCCTTGCACGTTTCCCTTAAGAGTATATATACCCTGAAAACAACCTTATTGCATTCTTTATTTAACATTACATTTCAGTTGCTAGAATCACTAATATTAGCTGTGGTAAATTTAAAAAGTTCAAATGAATAAAGAGGTGAAGAAAAGATGCTGATTGACAGTGAGGAAACCTGATAACAGTACCACTAGAATGTCTTTGCCCTGGAACCCACATTGTCAAAAGAATAAAGTTCTCCCCATGTGGATTCTGGGGCCCTACTATGGGGAAAACAAGAACAGACCCACTGCCTACCCAAAATCATGTCATAAGAGTCGAAGTGGAAGCTTTATTTGGAGTCGGAGTGCATCTGCCTTACAGGTGAGGAACCAGCAGTCTGCATACAAATGAGTCAGATCTGTAACACTCAGGTTCTGGAACAGGACTGCAGTCCAGAAGTGGATGAAAAACCAGAACTTTCCGCCAGAGTTTACAGCTGGTGAACGCAAAAAAGAAGAAAAGAATAAAGGCAACCAAAATTTTTAGAATAGAATAGTGAGTAAGTTTTTTTTTTTTTTAAATGTGAAGAGAACATTGGGTGATCTGCATGCAGTAACAAAGGATGTCATGATTTGCAAAGTCCAAAGATGGAAGTCTTAAGGTTAAACACATAATTGATAGGATCACAACTTTTGGATTTGTTTTTCACACTGAATAGACAGTTATTAAAATTTTCGAAAGCAGTTAAGATGTACTTACAGACCTGGCTTGCGTGTTTGCAAACATTTGATTTCTTGCCTCTCAGACAGATGCCTTCACACTTTGAAGGAAACGCCCCTACTCCCCTAATTAGTCTCCTCCTGTGACGTGCTTGTTAGGGAGATGGTGGTTCTATTCCCTGGGTCAGGGCAATTTAGCAGTAATGAATTGTCATTAGAGTTATTCTAAGTTTGGTTTGGCATTGTTGTTGTGTGTGTTTTTTTTAATTACTTCCACAAATTTTGTAGTGCTGTGAAAGCTAGTCGCACTTTTTGAATTCCTAATTTAATATCTCTATTGGATCAGCCATTTAGGTCTACATTGATATATTGATACCTAAAAAAGGGTGTGTGATTCTATTTCTTGGCCGGTTGAGTTTAGCTGATTTCAGACCTGACATCAAAGCTCTTGCAGCCTTCCCATAAGTGCTCCTGTCCCATCTTCAGCAGTCACTGCAGCATTGCAGTTCTAGAAGTACCAGTGGCAGATTGGTTGTATGTGCGTCTTCCCTGTCCTGTGTGTATTGTTAGCCAGATCCTCTGGACACTCACTGCTGCACTATTCCCTCCAGACCTGATGGTCTGTTTGTGCCCTCACATTGTTCACTTGCCCCATGAGAGCCTTGATAATATCCGGCTTGTGAGGTATCAGTTTACAAGCTAGTGGTGCAGAAGCAGCCAGTCTGTCTACCTGTTCATCTCGCAGTACACTTGCATACTCTGAAGAAAATATCCCAAGGATGCTAACTACCCAGGACCTTTGAAGCAGCATGTCTTAGATTTCACCAAGGGAAATTGGGTTATCATTTTCTTGATTTATTCTCATCACCTGTATCTCAGTTTTGCTCTGAAACTGTTTTTTTTTTTTCATTTTTCTGTTTAAATGTTATTATACTGACTTTTAATAAAATTTTACATGTTCAGTGTCAAAGAATGAGATGAAGTAATTGAAGCAGCATTTTTTATAAAAATGCAGACATAAATTTTACGCTGCACTTATTTTTCTCTGTATTTCAGCTATGGTTAACTTTACAAAAAATGTTTAAAAATGGAAGACCCATTTCAACATCAAGGGCGCGTGGTATTTTATGGTAATAGTTTTATAGACCAGTTAGCACTCAGTAGGTCTTGTGCTCAACGTCACATTGGCCGCCTTTACCTCCCATAACATTACCTGGTACCCATTTTATGCTAAGTAGACCCGGGAGCCTTGGTCAGTTTAACAAAATAATCAGACAAGATTTGGATTTAAAGGCAAAACTTTTGGGCCAACAGGCAAATGTCTAGCCACTACACATCCCTGACTCAATCTCTGAAAAATTGATCCTTTTCCTTGTTGGGACCATATAGGGGATATGGTGCCACACCTGTAATTTTATAAAACAGTCAACACTTTATAGGTATAGGTAAAGGTAAGGAGCAACTACATTGTACCAGGTTTGATCCCATATGGCTCAGTCTCTCTGCACATAATGGCTATATGCCTGTTAAGAGCGTCATTCAAAGCACAAACTCAGTACTCCCTATGATAATCCCCAGGGATCTCCATAAAAATAACACTCAGCAGGAGTTGAACATGTGAACCCATGACCTTCAGAGCATGAGGTAAACAGCTTGACCACTTTGCCACCCCAGAGCTACATCAGCTAGCATGATAGTGCCACCTGGGAAAGCAAATATCACTGTATACCCAGTACTGTTTCCTTAGCAACTTTCCAGACAACACTGTTACATTGTGATATAGGAAGGCATGGGAATAACAGTCTATAATGCAGTGGTCTCCAACCTTTGTCAGGTTGTACACCCCACCCCCTTTTTGAGAATACGACAAGACCACTCCCCCCTTTTCACTTGCTTCCTTGAGAATATACAAGACCTGCACGACCCCTTGCATATTTCGCAAGACCCCCTCTCTATCCCCTTGCCCACCCCCTCACATAACAGAATGTTAAAGAGGATGCCAGTAGATTCTGCAACAAGAGAAACAGAAAGTATGGAGATAGGTTTTGGTCAGAATGTGTTTTTAATCTATATTTAAATGTTCTTTTTATCATATTAATAAGATTTTTAACGGTAGATATACCAACTACTCATGAAACAAATGTGTCCTTATATTACTTAATAAATAATTTTTAAAAATATTTTATTTAGAATTAAACTAAAATAAAATTTAAGTAAAACAAATTATTATTGTACAAATGCACTAATTTTCATAATTGCTAAAAGCCCCCTTAAAAACCTTGTTGCGCACCCCCAACCCTTTTGCAACCCCATGTTGGAGACCATGGATATGGTGAGTGTGACTAGCAGCCCTGTTCACATTCAGAAAATCTACAAGTGTCTGCAATATGAGGATATAGTTACTGTGATATACTTTTACCTATTTCTCTACAAACCCTTGGCTCTTAATCTTCCTCAAATCACTTGGAACCAACACACTGTGATGTCGTGTGAATGAGGACCTTTATCTTTTTTTTTTTTAAAATAAGTTGTAATTATTATTTTAAAATTTAAAATTTTTTTTATATTATAATTTTTATTTTTGTCATGCCTCAGAAACTGAAATATTTGGTAGGACTGTGAGCGCTGTTCGGCAAAGGACCTACTACATGATTGTCAGGGTGCTGTGTGGCTATGAGATGAAAGCATATGATGATGATGAATAGTGGACTTAGTACTTAGTTGACTTTATAGTGACTGCATGCCCATGAAGACTTCGACGAAGGCCAGCATGACAGATGAATTATGCACTCCTGGGTCCACGAGGTTTTCACAAACTGGGCAGTGAAGTTGCAATGGAATAAAGGTGAAGGAAAAACAGTATTTCCAGAGAGGGTTGTTCAGGACTGAGGGATGCGGGAGTTGATCGTAAAGTTGGGGGGCGGAGGCTTGTGGATAAAGATGTGTGGCATTCTGACTGTTGGATGTTTTCTGTGTTTGACTGTCATCAGCCTGCACATGAGCCAGATGCCTTGATGGCAGTAAAGTAGGTTATTGTCAGAAAGGGGAGCTCGTCTGGGATAAGAATTATTATTGTATATTTCAATTGCTGAAAGCTAGCTTGAAATTTCTACCTGTCTTTTCAGTTTGAGGAAGCGGCTGCTAGAGATGATCTCATGGGAGTTGAAGACACTGCCAAAAAAGATATCCTTTTGTGTGTGTGTGTGTGTGTGTGTGTGTGTGTGTGTGTGAGCGCACGTGTGTGTCTTTATATTTCATAAATCTATGCTTTGTTTTAAGACATGTGAACATGTAAAAGATGATAAGAATAAATTATCTTGTCACATAAAATATAGAACCTTATTGTGCCAATTTATCACTCTCATCTTTACAGATGTGCTTCTCCTTGTCTTATGTATTCTGAAAGGTCAAGAGCCTAGGTTTTCTGGCTTACAATAGTTGTAAAATCCCCCGTATGGGTTCCGGGGCCCCATTGTGGGGAAAACAAGAATAGACCCACTGCCTCCCCAAAAGCATGTCGTAAGAGTCGACTAATTGGGGAGCTTCCTTTGAAGTCGGAGTGCATCTGCCGGAGAGGCAAGGAACCAACGGTCTGTATTCAAGAGAATGAGATCTGTAAAACTGATGCACACGCAACACTCAGGTTCTGGAGCAGGACTGCAGTTCAGTAGTGGACGAGCAACCAGAACCTTCCGCCAGAGTTTACAGCTGGTGAACGCGAAGAAGAAGAAGAAGAAGAAGTTGTAAAATGTTGAAGCAATCAAGCTTGTAGCGGCACTTCTTAACTGGGATCTTGAGCTTTCTGAGGACAGTCGAAAATTTTAAGATCTTACCTAGTCATTCCTATTTCCTTGAGCAGCCTCCTGGGGTGGTTTTCCTGTCAATGAATACCAGCCTAATGAGAATCTTTTTCTTTTCTGCTCCAATTTGTTTATTTCTGTTATGAGCTTCACTGATCCATATAATAAAGGGATTAAAGTGCATTCACACACACACACACACTCACATACACACACTCACATACACACACTCACACACACACACTCACATACACACACTCACATACACACACATACACACACTCACATACACACACTCACACTCACATACACACACACTCACACACACACACTCACATACACATTTAGTTTTTAAAAAAACTTTCTATACTGGACATCAGTGGTTAGCTTCCTCCTGTTTCCCCTGTCATTTTGCTGGACATCAGTGGTTAACTTCCTCCTGTTTCCCCCGTCATTTTGCTGGACAACAGTGGTTAACTTCCTCCTGTTTCCCCTGTCATTTTGCTGGACATCAGTGGTTAACTTCCTCCTGTTTCCCCTGTCATTTTGCTGGACATCAGTGGTTAGCTTCCTCCTGTTTCCCCTGTTATTTTGCTGGACATCAGTGGTTAACTTCCTCCTGTTTCCCCTGTCATTTTGCTGGACATCAGTGGTTAGCTTCCTCCTGTTTCCCCTGTCATTTTGCTGGACATCAGTGGTTAACTTCCTCCTGTTTCCCCTGTCATGTTGCAGGACATCAGTGGTTAGCTTCCTCCTGTTTCCCCTGTCATTTTGCTGGACATCAGTAGTTAACTTCCTCCTGTTTCCCCTGTCATTTTGCTGGACATCAGTGGTTAGCTTCCTCCTGTTTCCCCTGTTATTTTGCTGGACATCAGTGGTTAACTTCCTCCTGTTTCCCCTGCCATTTTGCTGGAAAATGTCACCTTTTTGTCTGTAGACACGCATGGTTTATCATGCTGTGCTCTCGTTGATGCCATCAGTTTGAACTGTTTTCATATCAGTGAACACAAGCTTAATGAAAATTGTTTCCTGCTCACATTTTTTATTTCTTTACTGAAGTTCACTGAACTGTACAATAAAGGGACTGAAGTGCCTTACTGTATGTCGATATCATTAAAGAACTTTCTGCAGAGAATTCAATACCTTTATTCCAGAACATCTAGAAAGTTCCAGCTATTCGCTACATTTTAGCTTTGCAAAGAAATGGTGTCCAGTAGGATTCAAAAATTGTAGGGTTTGATTTGAAAAATGTGAAAAAAGTGACAGATGATTGAGATAGAACAAGTTAGAGCAGTGGTTCTCAACCTGCCGGTCGCGACCCTTTTTTTGGTTGAACAATCCTTTTGCTTGGGTCCCCTAAGACCATGGGAAAACACATATTCATTAAAGTTATGAAGAAAAATAATTGTTTATGGGTCACCACAACATGAGGAAACTGTATTAAAGGGTCGTAGCATTAGGAAGGTTGAGAGCCACTGAGTTAAAGTAATAACTACTTGGGACTGAAAGAGTTCAAGCAGGAGTTTTAAAATACTAGAAAACCCGAAAGGAAATAGCAATTTGTATTGTGTGTGTTTTTTATTCCTTAACCTTGATGCAAGTTTCTTCTCATCGAAGCCACAACTGAAGAACAGATCAACTGTGTTTACACTGGGGAACAGGGGGGAGATTCTCACTACAGAACTGGAGGCTCCAGTTATTGTTCCTCATGCTGCGGCCAAGAATGAAACCAGGGTTTGTCTCTTGAAGTACTGTTGTCTGTGTTTTGTTTGGTCACCATGTGGGTTCCAGAGCCCAATTTTGGGGGTTAAAAAAAAAAGAACGGACCCACTGACTACCTTAGAAAGCTTGTAATAAAAGACAACCTCCATGTGTGGGTTCCGGAACCCCATAGTGGGGGGAAAACAAGATTAGACCTACTGCATTCCAAACAAGCATGTCATAAGAGTGGACTAATTGGGGCTTTCTTTTGAAGTTGGAGTGCATCTGCCAGAGAGGCAAGGAACCAATAATCTGTATACAGTTTACTCAGGTCTGTTAAACGGATGTGCACGCAACACTCAGGCTTTGGAACAAGACTAAAGAGGTGGACAAACAACCAGAACTTTCCATCACAGTTTACAGCCGGGGAACATGAAGAAGAACAAAAGGTAACTGACTGTGGAGACTTTTCCTCCTATATTGGACCACATCTGTTTGAGAAGTGAGAAACCAACAGTAGGCTAGATCTGTAAAACAGATGTGCACGCAGAAATGGATTAACCAGAACTTTCCACCTGGGTTTACAGCCAGTAAACGCTGAATGTTGAATTAAGAATCACCATGATAGCACTTGGGACATTCCCATAAGCGCTCCACCCCATGATCTCTTTGTATGTGTGTATGTTGGAATACTTATTTGTGTTAATTTGGATACTTGTGTGTGTCGCAGTACTGTTGTGTATGTGTCAGTTGGAATTATCTTCTATTTGTCTGTTGGAATTCCATTGTAATGCATCCAATGGAATACTGTTGTATGTGTCTATTGGAATAAATATTTTTCTTTCCTCTGCATAACCTCCAGGTATTTTATTTCATAAACACAATCTACAGTATTGTTTCATGTATGCAAGCCACAGTCAGTTGTATTTCAACCACACAGCCTCCATTTTGTAGATTAAAGACAACCCCCCCCCCCCCCCCCCTTCCCCCCTCCCGCAACAGCCATGTCCTAGGAGTTGACTGATTACTGGTGTCTCCTTGAGAGTCAGATTGCGTCTACCTGAGAGGAAAGAAACCAGCAGTCTGCATAGAAATAAGCCAGAACTGTCAAATGGATGTGTGCATGCAAAAACTCAAGTTCTGGATCAAGACCAAAGTCCAAGAGTGGACGAACAGCCAGAATTTTTTGCTGGAGTTTACAGCCGGTGAAGGCTAAGAAGAAAAAGAAGAAGAAGAAGAAACCACACAGCTTACAAATTTGTTCTTTTTTTTTTTTTCAAAGACCTTTGAAACTCCAGTTATTTATATTTCTAACCACATAAATGACAGCTGTTTCTGTTTACATCTTCATAGACGATCATTAATTCCTTTTTTTAAAAATGTCTCCAGTACTCATTTGAGAGCATCTTCCGCAGTCTTCATTTTGCCTTGATGGACAACAGTTGCAGGGAATATCTCTTTATTACTGATTTCTTCATGGTCTCTGGAGCCGGGGCTCAGAACCTGTTTGAGGCAATCTTGGGGAAAACACTGACTCTGTTTTTGGTAGGTGGTCTCTGTTTGTCTTATTGCTGGTGATTAGAATCTGCATGATTCTCCTGCCCTGTTAGTGGGGTGTGGGGAGGGGGAATCTAACAACTACTCTTTAACCCTGTCACCTTGAGAAACCAGTTTGCCACCTAATTTTTTTGAGGCGTTGACGTCATTGGGCAGTAGCCAATATGCCAGAATAGCAGCTTTGGTACTAAAAGTAAAGGACCCTTTTCCACGTCTTTCAGGCGTATTGGGTATATAGGGCTAGACCTATATTTTATAGACCAATCGGCACAAAATGGGCGATGTGATCAGCATCACGCTGGTCGCCTTTACTTCCCAGGAACGCACCCGCTCATGGCTGGGTCGACCTGGGAGCCAAGATCATTTTTGAAAAAAGTCTGGCTCCGCCAGGGAGCGAACCCACGACCTTCTGATCCGCAGGCAAGTATCTAGCCGCTAGGTCAGGGCGAATCCCAGCTTTGGTACTGGTAACCAAAATGTTCAGACTCGGAACAGGACACGATAAAATCAAAACCCACTTACATCAAATAGGTCTTGCTAACTCTGCTGCGCGGGATTGCGACTCACCAGAGCAAACTTCAGAGCATGTCTTGCAGCAATCGCCCACACTTTACCAGTCAGAGAGAAGAAATCTGACCCACAGGTGCATCTTGGGGTACCAGTGAAGACCTCAGACGCACCGTCCTGTTTATGACCCATATTGTGCTAGACGCATTGTAAGTAAAAGTAAACTGAAGGACCCTTTTCCACGCCTTTAGGCGTATAGGGCAAGACCTATATTTTATAGACGAGATGGGTGATGTGGTCAGCATCACGCTGGCCACTTTACTTCCCGGGACTGTACCCAGTACCAACTCAAGGCTGGATCGGCCTAGCAGCCAAGGTCATTTCGAATAGACGCATTGAAGACATTGATCCCTGCAGAAAGTACTGGTTGCAACTGCATGTGTGTAGATGTGGTCAGCGTGATTATATTTACCAATTTAAAAAAGTCATTTGATATGGGGGGGGGGGGGGGGGGGGTAGGAAACATTTTTTTAAAAAAGAGGGTCACTGTGATATTATAATAAATTTATGATGATTTTACTTTGCTGTATTTTGCTATTTTAACAAAATCTCAAAGGAGGGATTTTTTTTTTTGTTTATGTGCGTATGTTTGTAATAGTGATTACTTCCCTTCATATATAAAGTAACCTTTAAACATAATAATGACTCTAAATATGAAAAATACACCTTTTCTGTGTGATCATGCAATAGCATTATTTTGAATTATATTATACTAGGAAAAATATGTTTCAATGTGTTTTCTTTTGCCTTATTAAAAAACTTAATTTCAGTCTATGGTGTTGAGGGCCACTTTGCTTCTGTAAAATGGGGTCATGACTCGGAAAAGGTGAGGAACTGCCAGGGTAGACCCATTAAGGCAGATGAAGAAGTTGATGGATAGATAATATACATGCTGACCTACAAACACTTGGTGTCACCAACTGGAAAGAGAAGACCAGTCTCAGAGATGAATGGAGGCCGCGGATGTCTGCAGTTGTGAACCTCAGTGACTCGAAATGCTGAAGAAGCAGAAGAAGAATATTACGAAGACATAGATGGATCTTCAGGAGGTATCACATCATAGGAAAGCTTGGTTTGAATTTGTTAAGGGCCTATATTTAAGAGATAAAAACTTGAAGAAGAAGAAGAAGAAGAAAGCGTAATAAAAAAATAAATAAATAATGAAAACTTGTGAATTTTCTTCCTCAGAAAATAGTGGAGGAGAGTGTTATGGACTGCTACGACTCCATTGGCATCTTTCTTTCAGCACATGTGGTCTACAGATACCAGAGTATTATGGCCAAGAGAAACATCCCAGCTTTAGATAGGTAACTGTTACAATGATTGATGTTATAAATATTTTATCGTAAAAGTGTTTGCCCTTTTTTCTTTCCTTATAAATCTGAAATCCTCAACTAGTTCATGGCAAGTTTCCCCATGTTGGTTCTGGGCCAAATTTGGAGTTGTGGGGGGAAGGAGAGATTAAACCTACTGCCCCCAACAAGCACGTTGTAAGAATCGACTAATTATTGTTTCCTTCTTTTTAGTTTTAAACCATTTTCAATATGTTCTAACTCCCCGCGTGGGTTCCAGGGCCATATTATAGGGAAAACATGAATAGACCCACTGCCTATGTAAAAGCATGTCGTAAGAGTCGACTAATTGGGAGCTTCTTTCTAAGTCGGAATGCATCTGCCTGAGAGGCAAGGAACCAGCAGTCTGCATACAAATGAGTTTGATCTGTAAAATGGATGCCCACGCAACACTCAGGTTCTGGAACAGGACTGCAGTCCATAAGTGGATGAACAACCAGAACTTTCCGCCAGAGTTTACTGCTGGTGAACGCGAAGAAGAAGAAGAATACGTTCTAGCCCCAAGTTTTTAAAGATGAGTCATCACCCAGATGATGTAATAAATTTCAAGCCAGCCGTCGTTAATTTTCAGAACATTTCTTGGTGGTCATTTTAATTTAAGCCTAGATGGACCTTTGCGCCCAGTGGTTTTACAGCATTTGGGAAGGGGTGGTGTTGCCATATCCAGATAATCTTCAATTGAATTTCCGTGCAGTATCCACATACTATTATTTAGAAATGTTCGTATCTGGGTCATGATTGCAGTAATGTATGTATCTCTTAGTCGAGTCCAGATGATATTGTTCACAGCTGTTTATCTCTCTGTAATGTCTAAATAATGTTAATCTTTAGTCTCTCAGTCATGTTTTGACAATGTTGTTATTCCATCTCTCAGTCATGTCTGGATAATGTTGTTTTTCAATCTCTCAGTCATGTTCAGATAATGTTGATCACAAATGTTTATCTCTGTGTCTCATGTGCAAGTACTGTTGATCACACATGTTTATCTCTGTGTCTCATGTGCAAGTACTGTTGATCACAATGTTTATCTTTGTGTATCATGTGCAGGTACTGGGAGACCATTCTCAGCCATCTGTGGCCTCGCTTTGAGTACATCGTGACCATGAACATACAGAGTGTGAGAGAATGTGAGCCGAGCAAGCTTGGACATATCGACAACCGGCCTCACTATGTAAGTTTGTTGGTACTGGTTGAAATCATCATGTGTTCCTCGTATGGATTCCGGGGCCCCATTTTGGGGAAAACAAGAATAGACCCACTGCCTCCACAACAAGCATGTCATAGGAGTCGACTTATTAGGGTCTTTCTTCAAAGTCGAAGTGCATCTGCCTGAGGGGCAAGGAACCAACAGTCTGCAGACAAATAAGCCACAGCTGTAAAACGGATGTGCACGCAAAACTCAAGTTCTGGAACAAGACTAAAGTCCATAGGGTGACAAACAGCCAGAACTTTCTGTTAAAGTTTTCAGCCATTGAACACGAAGGAAAAGAAAATATCCTGATGTTAAATTAGTCAGCATATTGATGCAGAATGTGAACAGGAAAACAATTCAGTGACATACCTCAAGAAAAAGTTCTATAAAGTCTATCAAAAGTGACCAGAATTATCCCAGAGATGACTACAACTTACTTTACCAACGTTGACAGGTCATTTATTCTAAGCCTCGGGACAGGTCATAAGAAACTTTACAAGCATATGCACAAGCTTTTTCTTAGTAGTTGCCCATTGTGCTTCTGTGGGCTGTGTGTGCAAACTGCAGAACATATCCTGCAAGTCTGTCCCTTGTACAGCCCATTTAGAAGGGAGTACTGGCCCAATGAGGAGACGCTGTACTCAGAGTTTGTATGGAGGAGCAAACAAACAAAAAATGGCATTTTGATCACAAAAACTCTTCTGTTGGCGTAAATCAGAGAGCAGTCACACACACACACACACACACAAAAGATTGTAAGTGCAAATTGAACCAGGCAAGGGCTCACTCAGATCCTCTCCTTGGTATATCTCTCAGTATGTAGTGGCTGACGACACCAGTTTGGGTCCATTTATTTTTACCATTTCAGACAAGTTATGAGGGTGAAAAATGTGTTTAATTTAAAAAGAAATTTGTTTAGATTTCTGTTAAGCTATTTTTTTATGTTATATAAATTTGTCACCCTGTGTAAACCCTGATGGAAAGTTCTGGTAGATCACCCATTTTTTAAAATTTGAGTCTTGTTCCAGAACTTGAGTTTTGCATGCACATCCGTTTTACAGCTGTGGCTTATTTGTGCACAGACTATTGCTTCCTCACCCCTCAAGCAGATACACTCTGACTTCAAAGAAAACATCCCTACTTAGTCTGCTTTTACAACATGCTTTTTAGGTGGGGGAGCAGTGGGTCTAGTCTTTTTTTACCCCCTGCAGTGGGGTCCGGAACCCTCAAAAGGGAGGTGTTTGATTAAATCGGATGTGTTAGGCCGAAAAAGTGCAGATTTTGCAGGCTAGCTGTAAACCACAGTATACTTTGCCAACCACTCTGTAAGGTCGAGCACAGAAGAAGTTCTTCCATGCTCATGATGCCAAACTGTCCAGTGTGCTCTCTTGTCTTCCCCACCCCTCTTTTCCTTCATCTTTCATGCTGTCCTTACTCACCCAGTTTATTTTCATTTTTCCTTGTGTGCCCAAATAAGTTATCTACCTCTGATGCAGCCATACATTTATCTTGTGAGTTAATTTCATTACACTTTTTAAAAAATCTGTTCTCAATTTTCTCGTTATTCTTCTACAAAATCCTATCTTGCTAGGATCCACATTTTTTTCTGACTAGACTGAATGTCCATAAAGTACTTCTGCAAAGTGACATTGACTCTGTATAACTCTTAAGAACACTTTCTTCTCTCAAATTATTTAAATATGTTTAATTAGCTGTCTTCTTCTTTGCGTTCACCGGCTGTGAATTCTGGCGAATTGTCCCGGTAGTTCGTCCATTTGGACCTGAGTTTTGCCCGTGTATCCATTTTACTGGCGTATTTGTTTTCTGTCCCCTGCCTCACCGGTAGATGTACTTCGAGGGAAGACTGTACTACTGTAAATAGATTGACTCACTAATGGCTTGTTTCAGAAATTGAAATAAATACATTTGTGTGTGGGTGTGGTGTGTGTGCACGCACAGTTGGCCATATCAAACATCATTGTGAGTTAGACAGAACAGTATCAGAGGACACAGTACTGAGCAAGAGAACTAGGGGCGGACCTGCACGAAGATGGGCATAGGACATAAGAGACACCTTGGACTGGAAAGTGGGTGAGTGGAGTGAAGAAATCTGGCAAATGAACACAAATTTCTTTCAGGCAGATTGTCGAAGGGAGAAACATTCTGTAAAGGACCTGATACATGATAATGACCACTGTAAATCTCATTACGGCAGTGGCATTAACTATTGATCTTTGTTGGCAGATTACTCGCAGGTTTGCAGAATTTTCAGCTGCTATTGTTGGTATCAGTGCTACCTACCCAAATGAGCGGGTCAACCGGGTTTTAGGGCAGCTTCAGGCAGAGGTGGAGAATTTTATCCTGAAAATGGCAGCTGAGTTTCCACATCGTAAAGAACAACTGATCTTTCTGATCAATAACTACGACATGATGTTGAATGTCCTTGTGGTGAGTTTGCTTGCTTTTGTTTGTATGTGGATTGTGCCTCTGGCTCTGAAAAAAAAATTGGTTCATTTTCTGTGTTTGGTTCATGAGTAAGATTTTTTTAAGGCTTGGTTCATGAGTAAGATTCTTTTAAGCCTTGGTTCATGAGTAAGATTCTTTTAAGGCTTGGTTCATGAGTAAGATTCTTTTAAGGCTTGGTTCATGAGTAAGATTCTTTTCAGCCTTGGTTAATGAGTAAGATTCTTTTCAGCCTTGGTTCATGAGTAAGATTCTTTTAAGGCTTGGTTCATGAGTAAGATTCTTTTAAGGCTTGGTTCATGAGTAAGATTCTTTTAAGGCTTGGTTCATGAGTAAGATTCTTTTAAGGCTTGGTTCATGAGTAAGATTCTTTTCAGCCTTGGTTCATGAGTAAGATTATTTTAAGGATTGGTTCATGAGTAAGATTATTTTAAGGCTTGGTTTATGAGTAAGATTCTTTTAAGCCTTGGTTCATGAGTACGATTCTTTTAAGGATTAGTTCATGAGTACGATTCTTTTAAGGATTGGTTCATGAGTAAGATTCTTTTAAGGATTGGTTCATAAGTAAGATTCTTTTAAGCCTTGGTTCATGAGCAAGATTATTTTCAGCCTTGGTTCATGAGTAAGATTCTTTTCAGCCTTGGTTTATGAGTAAAATTTTTTAAAGGCTTGATTTATGAGTAAGATTCTTTTAAGCCTTGGTTTATGAGTAAGATTCTTTTAAGGATTGGTTCATGAGTAAGATTCTTTAAAGGTACTCCCAGAAATCACTGCTAGACTTGTGGAATTTGTGCCTTTTGAAGCCCTTGGCTAGCAAACACCATATCTGTGGTGAGAGACAAGAGTCATATTAGGTAAAACCCTGTGCCATGAAGTCCAACATTTCAACTTAAGACATTTCCTTCGAAGTCGGAGTACAGCTGCCCATGAGGCAGGGAAATGAAAAACGGTTGTACACGCAAAAATCAGGTCCAGGTGAAAGCCAAAAGTCCAAGCGGACAATTAATCAGGACCTTCCACTGGAATTCACAGCCGGTGATCGATTAAAAAAAAAAAAAACTTAAGACATGTTTTTAAAAAAAATTGTCTGCTCACATTTGCTGTTATTAGCATGAATGCTGTAAATGGAAATGGGCCTCTGTAAGTTCTCCAAATTAAATTCTAGTAAATCAAGAGGTGAGAAAAAGATGCTGGAACTGATAAGACACATATTGAGAAGGCCTGATAATAGTAAAGCTAGAATGTCCTTACACTGTAATCCACGAGCAAAAGAGATAAAGGAATACCTAAGACACATGGAACGGAGAATTAGAAACAGAGGTTGATAACATGGAGGGAGCTGCAGGAGATGGCAAATGATAGGATGATTTGGTTGAGGCTCTGTGCTCCAGTGGGTAATAACAGGCAATTTTCCAAATTTGAGACATCATTTAAAAAAAAAATTTTTTAACTGTTCTTTCTCATCATTTATATTTTGTTGACTATTCTCGGTTGTTGGTTGAATTATAACAAGTTTTTATTTGAATGCACCCTCCCTCGAAGGCACATCAGTCTTGATGCTTGTGGCTGTCGTGTAAGACCATGGAGGTTCATTAAAACAGATGGCCAACCCTCTTACTGTCCACGCAAGTTGTGGGCCTGTTTATTTGGCTGTCAGACAAATTTATATACAGTATTTGTCAGTGTAAAAGACGCATTTTTTGGGTGTTATATTTTTTTTTTTGAGTGTGCATGGCATGGTGACTCCAGTCACAGGCGTGAGGGAAATTTAAGTGTGTACCGCACCTCATGCACCAGCTGCCTTTGGGCGGGTTTATAAGAGGTCCTGTACACATTTAGCCAACGAGAAACTGGCCAGCATTTGGGAATATCATCTGCCAAGCTTTTAGTAAGAAACCATTGATTGAATAGGGTTGACACATTCTTCTTCAGGATAAGATTTATATAGCTCTTGAGAGTTTTCTTTCACATCTCAGTTGACAAAGAAAGATTACATGGCATGTTCTTTTTTGGGGGGGTAAAAATTAGGGCTGTACCGAATATTCGCTTCGGTGCCGAATAGTGTGTCAGCACACGAAGTAATACATGCTGCAGCAGATCGCAGATTGTGGTGAGGCATAATCGCCCACATCGGTCGGCAAGGCACCTGATGATGATGATACACTATTCGTATTCGGCTAAATAGTTGGTCCCACTATTCGTATTTGGCCGAATAGTGAAAATCACTATTCGGTACAGCCCTAGTAAAAATTATCTTAATTCTCTTGTATTTATGTATACATATGCATTTGTAGAAATCTGTACCTAATGTGAACTTCTTCTGCAGGAGAGAACCACTGATGATTCCAAAGAAGCAGAGATGTACCGTGACCTGCTTGCTGGCCGGACCCAGGAGTTTGTGGAGGAAATCTTAGCTCCTCACTTTGGTGGCCTGATCACATTTGTCAAAGATTGTGAGGTCTACATTGAGAGAGGGCAGGGCGATAAACTTCAAAGTGAAGAAAGTAAGTTGATGA